TAAAGAGTCGTTTCGCTGGAATATCTGATTCCGGAAACCAATCCTTCAGCTTCGAGGCAAAATACCCCCTTGTATAACTTTCGATTGGTTTCTAAAAGAAATGCATCAGTCAGTTAGTTAGTTATTCAAAGTACTAATCAGCAAGTAGGAAATTCAATGAATAAATAAATAAATTAATTAATTAAATAACTGGTGGATTTACAACATGTCAGGCAGGCATGACACAATGCCATTTTGAATTGTCTGTCTTCTTGCACATATTTCATCAGTTGGGTGAAGTGGGAATGCTAGCTGGTTGGCTGGCTAGCTGGCTGGCTGTCTAGCTAGAACATGATAATAGTAGGCAGGCAAATTATCCCAATATTTGTACAATAGGTGTATCCATGTATATGAAATGAATGACAATGAAAAATGACAACTATTACCACTACAGACTATCACTGATGCGCGCGTATTCATCATTCATCCATCCATCCACGACGGAATCAATGCGGTTCACGTCATTCATTCATTCATATTTTCAACTATTGGTGTTGTAGGGATTTTCAGACAGTTCTAGTGAGAAGCCATGACCAGCAGGATACAATACAGCAGGTTCAAGGTGAGGCAGTAACTAACTCATCGAAGAAGACATTGCCAAGTGATCGCACTATGTCATCAATTGCAAGAAGTGAGAATTTCTGAGCTAGCCATTGGATCGGATACCAGTGGTTGTTGAATGAATGGTCTACGATCTAGATCGCCTTGTAACCAGAAGCACCTGGGTTCGAGCATTGGCAATGGGGTGGGTGCGTGCGTACCGATGAAGAGTCCAAAACTAGGCTGACGAAACAGCTGTCTGGCAGTACTCCCCCTCCTGTTCGCTTTCCAATGCTCCTCTAACTGATTTCAGCTCCAAACTATCCGTTCGTATCTTAAAATACAAAAATAATCTCCACTTCTTCTAATGCTGCTTTTTAAATCGGAATAAATCGGAATAATTTTATTCAACAGTCTGAATACTAACTATACTATGTAACAAACAAGTATTCTGCACAAAAAGTGATAAAACCATTTATTATATAAGGCAAGGAAGGCACTTGACACTTTCATAAATAACAATTAAACAAAAACCCATTTCAACAACAATAATATCATGATGATAACAGTCAATGACAATAACTGCAATGCACAGAAGCTAATAGCAGCGAAATAATAGTAAGGTAGAATTAGAAAAGAGAAGCAACAATTTACCTGGAAAAACTTTTCCACATAGTGAAGCATAAAAACTCCACAATCCACACCGTTATTTTGAGTAGGCAAAAATGGAGTATGCATAGGGAGAGTATCGCTATTGAAACGGAGGACACCGTCTACTTCTGATCTCCTCGTATCCCATTCCACTTGTAGATAGCTGGAATCAATAAAGGGTGAATAGTTGCATGCATTAGAGGAGCATTGATCAATCAATCAATCAACTGATTCATGATGAAATCTCATCTACCATTCTTCAACGAACATCTCGAGTACACGCCGCCATATCACACTGACTGTAGGTGAAGGAATGCGTACTGCAAACAATTCGTTCCCTACTTACTACTTCTCTATCAATCTGGTAAGACATAACAACCTCTGAAAATGGAAGACTCGAACAGTATAACTCTGCTTGACCATAGGTGTATGGCGCTAACCACTCGTGTCAGGTGGTATAATATCTTCACTAACACCAAGGTTAGCACCCGCGTGGTCAAGGAAGAAATATCAGCAGATAAGGCGAGGTGATTGTGATTTTGCAAACATTTACATAACTAGATGTACTCAGCTCACCGACTCATCCATCGCCTTCCCCTTCATCGACAAGCAATCTTATCTCACATCACATGAAATAGATTACGATGCAAAAGAGTTGAGTCTGTGCAGAAATCATAACATCTTATCAATAAATTAAACCTTCGACTATTTGTCTGTTCAACACATGTCGTACTCAATGTCACAGGTCACTTCACACTATTTTCTATCGATACCCACATCCATCAGACCCCATTATTCCTCAAGTAATTATTATTATTATTTCACCAACGCATTTTGTTCATCGTACTGTAGCTCCTTCGAACTTCATCTCTCCACATTTGTGACTTTATAGAGCAGTAAATGTAGCCAGAATAGCTCAGTGGTAGCGTCACTCATTGCGCCGCTCGGTCACCCGGGCTATAACCACACAGCGGACATGACTTCCTTCAAGACTTAATATGTAAACTTTGACGACTGAATGATAACTATGAAAAATCACTAAACCTCCTCCCAAAAGCCCTCAACTATCTACCAATAACTAACTAACCAACTAACTTCTTTTATCTACCGTGCTTCCCCATTCCATGGCTTGTCTTCTTTTGTCCACTACCTCTCTTTAAAGTCTTTACAAACAATTCGAGGTGCTTCGTATTTAAGAAGACGTTGTTTCCTGTCAGGTTCATCGGCCTCATCCGTATCACTTACCTTGCATCAGTTTACTTTCCTCTGAGGCTGAGCTGAATTAACCCACATTGAATTTTACTAAACTTTTCACCGGACATAAATTATTAGCTATCTTCACCACTACCAGTCATACAATAGATTCCATGTACTGTCAAGATAATTCCACCTCCGCTCATACCTATACAAGTGCACAGATTAATCACGGTTGAAAATCTCTACGCACTTCCTCCAATGGAAACGATATCTTAGTGAAAGTTGTCCATCCCATTCATTTGTAGGTTTCATGTTGTTGACGGTGTGGCTCAGTCAGACAATCTTTCTTCTTCATTCATTTGAAACTATTTCTACACAGAGCCAAATAGTCAGTCAACAGAACGAGAAAAGGGACAAGATCACACCACCGTCGATTCATTTGCCTGCAACTATACACACACACACACACACTCCCAATACGATTTCCCCATTGGCTCACATTCCCTACACTGCCCACCATTACAGAACAACAATTTTCATCGACACACACCATTCAACGTCTACAGCCCCATTTGTAACCTCGACATACAACAGTTCTTGAAAAGATAAAAAAAGATGAAGGCTAGGCATAGAATAGTAGTTATCATCAGTGAAGTGCTGCTGTACAGCTAAGCCATTAGAAATGTGATTGATCTCAGCCAGTGCAAATGTCTTTGTTGCATGCAACATACAATCACACACAATCATCATATTGAACTAATTGTTGATCATCGTCAGACACCATAATTGATTAATTAATTAAGTCACAAACAAATATGCATGAATAACAAAAAAGAAATATCTTACTTGTAAAGAACACGCGCAATAGGAACTCTAGATACAATAGGAAGCGAGTCAAATATTAGAAGACAAGGCCTGTGTGAAACGAAGTAAGTAGATAAATAGATGAATAAATAAAATGAAGACAAGAAACTCCATGCATGCATGACAATTAATTGTCTCTATCACATAATTAGTTAACTCAGAAGGACACATCATCAAATGATTGATAAGAAACAATAGCGCTTAACAACCTTCTCAAGTAGAGTGTAACCACCCACATCTTACAGGTTAGCTGGCATACGTTCCTTACCTTGATAAATGCCCATATCACAACAGCCACCTACATATAACAGGCACTGGAAACCGGTCACATTATTGAACAACTACCACCACCACAAACGCAACTCAATCAACACTTTGATTCGACTCTAGTTAGTAGACTGTATTATTAGTCTAGCTCTTTGTGATGGTGCAGACTGAATTCTAGGTGGCCCGACGTCACAATGCACTTGAACTATTGATATATTAGACTATTGATGGCAATCGTCAAGAAGCCTTCCACCCAGATTTCGTGCTAGTAGCCACTCGTCCATCAGGCTGAATAGCTCAGTAGTAACATATCTGACTGCAGCAAACTCCCAACCCATAACTGCTACTTTGACGTGCTGGTCCGACCTGCATATCGCAATGACACAACAAGTTACATTGGCTGGAAGTAATGTTCCTGCAGCTTCTACCATGCCAGGAAGAATGTTAGCATAGTGATTAGACGCAAAGCAGTTAGCCTCATGGTGTAAGATTTTCTACACTTTGTTGGCGGCCTGTAGACAAAGTCTTGTAGCTGGCGGATAGCAATGTTACAGCAGTATGGTGATTCCCTCAGATGACCAGCAGACCAGCTAGCGAGAGTGACAGAGAGAAAGGGTTAGAAAAGCCCACCACAAAAATTCTACAACCCAATTTACCCTACAGTGGTCCGGAGTCGGCGACATGTGACAAATACTCAGTCAAAACAAAACACCGGTTCACACAGGCCGTGAGTGACCGGCTACAAAAAGTTGTCCCCCTGGGCTCTTTGCTCAAGTAACACCCATTCCTTCTCTTTCAGGTACCCGGAAAAAGAGAAATTCCATGGTTTGTGTAGCCGGGTAGCAGGCTCGATTGGCAAACGCCAACCTACACCATCTCTGGCGTAAACATGATATCCGGCTGGCTGTCGACCAAAGCACGAGGGTATAGCACAGCGGCACCAACAGCACTTCCCTACGTCCTCCTTAATAGATGGCCGTCATACATGGCCATCGAAAGTTGAAGAAATCAAAAGCCAAGCCTGCTGGCTAGCCATCTTTCATCATATGTGTCTGTGTTCTATCTACATCCTGTGTTAGGTGGGAAGTGTAATAAGGTGACTAACATTGAGGTGAGGCATAGGTCGAGTGCTCCGTGAGGAGGGAATACCAATCAACAAGGTTGTGAAGGTAATTCGATTGAGGTGGTCAGGACATGTTGTTACGCATGGCTGTTAAGTCACCTCCCTCCTCGACTGACGGGAAATGTTAGCCACTGACATAGGATGGATCTGGTTAGAAAGGAGCCAGAGCTAGGTCTAGGTGGAGCAACAAGCACAATGTCAAGGCAAGGCTTCCTGACGATTGTCTCCAACCATCTATTACCAACAATTACTTCACTCAACACGCAAATCACCTCAGATAGACAGAATTCTCTTGAATGAATGAATGAATAAATAAATAAATAAATAAATAAATGCATTATCACACATGCACACACACACACCCATTCAATTATTTTCATGTTTTAAAGTAAAAGAAAATCAGAATTTGTCATGACTGTGTTCAACAATAGAACAGATTGATTTGTCACTTCTCTACAAAATGAACAGGTACAGACAACATAAGAAGACAAATCACGTACTTCGGATTGTAACCATTCTTCCGGAGCCAGGCTAAACGTCTTCGTCTCCAACGATTAAATGCTTCACGCTGTAAAACAATAAATACAAACAAACCATACACTATACACCACCTAACCAGCCAGCCAGCACACTCATGTTAATCAGTTTACCGAAATAATCAATACTAAATCATTGAAATAGTCATAATTCACATGCATCTCGGAAAATATACATCACTATTATTATTATTATTCAAGTGTTGGTCTACAGGAATAATCTGATTTCACTGACTACAGGATTTCATTATGAGCTGAAATAGGCTAGAGAACCATTGGGAAACCGCCTGGGAGAAGTGCCAGACAGTTTGGCACTCATCGCCCACTAGGCTTCGAACTCAGGACATTCCGCCTACAAAGCCAGCAAGCTAGTTCACTATTAAGCAACTGACCAGTCCATGAATTCCAACTTTTGCCAATTCACCAACGATATAGCGCTGTTGGCACTATCGAATGTCATCGGTGGCGAGTATTAGTCCTCACACCCCCAACCTACTTTACTAACTCATTGGTCAACACTTACAATTACAACCCACCCACGTAACTGCCAACCTTGAACAGGGCGAGTTGCCAATGAGCTCACCTCGTAACCGAAAGCTCCTGGGTTCGAACACTGAAGAGTCCCCAACTAGGACAAAACAGCTGTCCAGTACTCCCAGCTACTTTTCCAATGCTTCTCTAACCGATGTCAGGTCAAGATGAAGTCCTATAACCAATCAGATCCTAGCAAACAAACACCTAAATGTTAGCTGATAGGTTGGTTGCTTTGTAAAAGCCCTGCTCGAAACATTCATGTAGGCGCACTAACTAAAATCCGTGCAGATACACACCCCTGTCCATTACCATCATCATATACATCACTTTCAATTGGCAAAATTTACTCACGATCAGTGCAGGAGAACTGTCACTGATACAGCAGTACAACTCATCGTTGCAGACCACGGTGTACCCAAGGTCGATACTCACTGACTGACAAATCAAGGTCTTTGTTTTGCGAGCGAACAATTCACTTCCTGTTTGCAACAGCCAGGTGTCAAGAAGATCACAACAATATCATATCATATCATATCAGCAAACGAATGGTCTGACAGAAAGAAATAACCGTACACTAAAGGAGTCGCTGTCCTCGAAGGGGGTTAACTGTCAGATAGAGCTTCCATCGATTCATTCTACTAGCACATCGTGCGACTTACTACCTAAGAAACAACAAAGGAGTCACCATTTCAATTGATGTATGCGAGGCGTACATAATTTTCCTATAAAGAGAAAATCAAATTGCAAACAAACATTCCGTTACCTAAGTCTGTTGTCTCCTACCGTTACAAAACAACATCAGCACTTCATATACTACTTATATTATTCATAATAGTAATAACAATATTAATAATAATGAAAATTTTACTACAATATTTACTTGAACATCTATAGGAATTCTGTGCACCGATTCTTCATAAATAGTGGATAAATCTAAACTTTGAGGAAATTTAATATATTCGACGTCAGAAAATTCTTCCATCAATGGGCACTGGCCAACAACTTCATCCGCATGCACATCCTTGGGCATTCCCACCATCCAAGGATAGCAAACAATACCAACAATCCAGTGAATTCTATAAAAGTTCCAATAGACGTAACCAGGGAAAGTCACGTACACATACACAAACAAGGAGAGAGAGAGAGAGAATTATATGATACACACACACACACACACACAGATTAATATGATACAATGTGAAAGACAAAAAAGCATTAAATCAGGATCATGGAGGAAGGAATAAGTCGACTGTGCCACTAACTACCCACTAAGTGAAAATTATCAATAGAACCAATACAATTCAACATTTCGACAGATGGTGCAGTAAATCAGATTCACTCCTGCTGTCACCACGGTGGTTCTACTTCTGACTTGTAGCTTCTGAACTGCTTCTTACAGGCGATAGCATAATCCCCAGCCTCTCCCTACACATTGATAGCCGCAAAATGTTGCCACGTGCATCTAGGAAACATTTCTTTGTGAAATTGGTCGACCACAACGTCACATATTCCAATTCCATTCAATACAATCACATATATTGGTGGAGTATAATAATCAATAAAGCTTAAGCACTACCACAACGAGACACACAATCCACACCGCTATAATCATAGTGAAACTGCAGTCAGACTACCAGCCATCTTCATAGCAGTCGATAACACATCCAAGTGTAACCCTAATTATACTCAACAAATGACCACTCAGTGGAACGTGAAGACTACCATATACATATCACGCTTATTCATCATTTCGGTCTTCAATCAACCCCGCTCTCATCTAATCAATATCTCATATCTCAATTCCTGATTGTTTAGGTTGTTGGTGGAATGTTTCAAAGTGCTCATTTTTCGAAAAATCTGTCTGAGCAAAGTATGGAAATTGGCGAAGTTACCGCATCATAGCCTAGAAGTCAGGGTAGGGCAAAAGTTGACCTTCAAAACCTGATCAGACTTAAGAAATGCTATTGAAAAAATCATTCCAAGTAGACTCATGCCTAACTTTTTTGATTAGCTGACGGTAGATACTTATTTTTCAAAAGTTGCTTTGTAAGGATTAGATTTGTTTTTACGAGTTGATCACAGATTGATACCAGTTTCAATGGGGTTCTCTAACTGATATTCTCCCAACACATTCCCTAGGTAGTTTCTCGGTATACTATTAGATAGAGATATGGATTTTAAGATTAAGGATAGGGTCTAGGATTACAGTTAGAATTGGGGGATTTGGATTACGGTCAGAGCCACGGGTAGGTTGAGCGACAGTGTCAGAAATATCAATGGATCGCAGAGCACTATGATTAACAGTCACCTACCGGGATGTAGTCATTGGAACACATTCTCACACGATAAGTATACCCTGTAATATTTTGCTTACAATGTTTTCTAATGCATTTTTTAACAGTTCATGCGACTTCATGAATCAGAAATCTGTCTGATTGCTTGTTCAAGGTCACGGTGGCTTTCGCTATGATAGTTTAATTTAGCCTGGAAGTTTCGTCGTCTTAAATACTTGTCCCGTTGTCGGTGGGCCTTCACCCAACTGACTGACTGACTGAGTGACTGACAGTGTATGCTACTGGTAACATCATTTTATTCCACCTGTAACTGCTACCAACATCATTAGTTATTTATTATCATATGGCTACAGTAAGTATGGCTACTAAGTAAGTTATTCAGTTAGATACACATTCAGAGTAGAAAGTCTACAGGTCACCGCAACGACACTCACAGTTTTCCTAAAGTATAAATAATATTCAAAAAACAATTTAACTATAGACGACTACCCCTATGTTGTTTATCTTGTATTCAATAATACTGGTCTGAATTATACTTACTTCTCATTAATTGGAATAATGATAAAATCCTTACTGAAAACGTCATCTCGACGTGTCCACCGAGCGACACCAGCGTGTCGAGCACGAATTACTCTGACGAAAGAGAAAGAGAAAAAAAAATTTTATTATGAAAAACAGTCTGAATCGGAAACGTACACAACACAATATTATAATTCATATATAAGGTGTAGAGCACATGTCGAAAACCACTAGCGTCAATACGTATTTCAACCCACTTTAAATATGTCATGTGAGATGGGGGGGGTGCGTATGCGTGTGAAAGTGGGTGAGTGCATGGGTGGGTATACGTGCAACATCCAAACACCACATACCATTCATTCTCATGACACTTATCAATGAGAACTTATTCGTATGCATTGCATGATAATACAATCATATGATTCCTGTGAATACAACCATGGCAGCTGACATGCTTAGGTGTTCCATGTTTCACTTAGGTATTCACAAGATGAACATGCAAATACTACTACAAATTAACAGTCGAGTAACTGTTCTACAACTCAACCAGCAGTTCCCACGCCAGTATTGAGGTAGACAGCGGTTACCAGAAGGTGGGAACAATATCAACAATCTCTTCAAAGTTAAACCACGACGACTGCTTTCAATATAGAACTTTGCACAGATGTGCAGCAGCAGTTCCAGTTGCCACTCCCTCTCCCTCCCTTCATAGGACTCACGAACCTAGAGAAGAGAGTAAAGAGACATTCAAAGGAGAGATACACAGAGGGAAAGCGACAGAGAGAGAGAGAGACAATAAAATCAAGTGTGAGGGGAGAAGAATAATAGTTATATGGAAGAACAATAGAGTTTCATTCGACATGACGAACCATGAGGAGTGAATGCATTATCTGTGCGATCATTGTCAACTAGGACTTTGTGCTATCTATATCAAAGATAGTCTCCAGGCTTCATTGGTTTTTACCATCCTTAGGACCCTAACCAGTCAGTCAGTAAGTATACACCTCGCTGATTTGCCCGCTAAAGCCATGTTTTGCTGTGACCACCTAGACCTAGCTCTGGCTCCTTTCTAACCAGATCCATCCTATGTCAGTGGCTAACATTTCCCGTCAGTCGAGGAGGGAGGTGACTTAACAGCCATGCGTAACAACATGTCCTGACCACCTCAATCGAATTACCTTCACAACCTTGTTGATTGGTATTCCCTCCTCACGGAGCACTCGACCGATGCTTCACCTCAATGTTAGTCACCTTATTACACCTCCCACCTAACACAGGATGTAGATAGAACACAGACACATATGATCAAAGATAGCTAGCTAGCTGGCTTTCCTTCTCATGGCTTCCACTCTCAATGGCAATGTCTGATGGCCATTCATAATGGAGGACGTAGGGAAGTGCTGTTGGTGACGCTGTGCTATACCCACGTGCTTTGATCGACAGCCAGCCGAATATCACGTCTACACCGGAGATTGCGGAAAACAAAAATTATTTCCCGTCTTCTGCATAAATGGTTATTCAGAAAGGACTCAGAAACCCCTACAATACAATGATTGATACACAGACACACTGAAGTTTAGACGACTATGACAAGAACGAAAATCAACCAAACAAGGAATTCAAAGCATATCAAACATTCCCACCGCTCTCTATATCACCATCTTCTCCAGAAGAAATTTATTGCGCCTATATTAATAAGAAATTTATCAAATTCCCTTCCCCATTAACAAAGTAAATACTACTGTAAAACATGTTGTCCTGACTTACCGACGAAATTCCCGAAATCTATGACAACAGAAATGTTATTCATTATTAACTAATTTATCAATATTCTCGGTATTTCTACTCTGTTATTTCAAGTACACCTTGCTTATGACCATTTCACACTACACAATACTTGATGCATCATCATAGATGGACAGATGAACACAGACTAACCGACAAAGTATTTTCCAGTGGTTTCGATATCGAGATAGAATAAAAGAGGGAGGAGGAGGTATCAGGACGGACAAGCTTTTCAGTTAGCTGCAAAGTCATTATTTATGCATGTACCAGTGACATAATGTTTATGTTTATGACTTCAATTTCTGACGGTTTGTGAATGTCATATACAGTATATTTTGACTAATAAAGGTTGTTCCCCTTGTTGTTATGGTTGTTGTTGCTCTTGTTCCCGTCGTCGTCGTCGTCGTCGTCGTTTTCCCCAGTCTCACTGTTCTGCCCATCTCAGTGTGGTATCAATCAGTTGACGGTTATATTTACGTGTTCTCTCTCTCTCTCTCTCCTGAAGGTGAATTCTAGTCAAGTTTCATATGACTAACTCAGTATTATCATTACTCCGTCATAAAATGAATAATCCAATAGAAAAATAAAAATCCCATATACCTGTTACAATGATGGGAAGAAAAGTAAAGCAGTTTTCATACTCACATTATTCATCAATTCACATCAGTCACAATCAGTGAGTGATAAGTGCTTCTCACAAACACACACATCTTCATTGAAATCCAGGATCATTACTCCTCTCCTCTCCTCCCCTCAAATTTAAATCCTGCGTTTGACTATTATTTATACAAGTCTTACTGTTAGGCAGCACTTACTATGCTTGTTAGTCGTAAAGTCATCCATCATTGATGCAAACATCAATCAGATATTGATTGAGCAAAGAATATTCTTTGAGATAATGTCCTACAGCCAGTTACATAGGCCGTGCAATTAGGCCTGTTTATTGTAGGATTTCCGATCACCACATCCTGCATAGTGTGGTAAAGTAAGAGACAAACGAAATACATTCATAAACTCTATTCTACCTCATCACCTCATGGATATAGAACACAAGATTGATGTCATCTACCGTATACCAACTGATCTTATTAACTTTACATTGAGAGTTCGTCTGTCTATTATATGCTGCTGGAGGTCTTGGAATCCACATTGAGAAGACTATCGTATGTATCCAGAAGAAACTGATTCACACACTTTCACACACATACCAGTGCTGGCCGTCAATCAAGGTTATAATCATCCTTAATTTATTGTAGGAATTTCCTTAATTTTATGTGATATTCTATTTACTATTACATTTATATATGCATATTTGTATATGAATATTTTCACTATACAGATATTGATTATTTATCGGTGGTTCAAATTTCCGTTGATGGGTAATACTTTTTTCGTGATACTGATTTTATTGAAACCATCCGAATTCTCAGTAAGATTTCTGAACAATAAGCATCAGTCAGTATTCAATGTCTGCTACAAATGTTTAATTCTCACCAAGGAACAATGTGGTGACCTTCTTACTCTGGAAAACATTCCACACTGTTTTAGGCGGGAGATATCATAAAGTCTATTCAAAAGGCGAGGTGTTAGGACGGACCAAGTAAGTTTCTTAGCCGTAAAATCATGATTGATGTAATCATCAATCCCAATTTCGAGTATTTATCTACCTATCCACTACATTTTATATTGATGTGTTAAGGATAATTTAAGCTTTTGTTGGAAATAATAAAGGTTACTGTTGTTTACTCAGATAAATCTGACTTCTGTGTGTATGCCTACTCAGTGTATGGGAATATATCCAAGTGATCAGTTGACTATACTGTCGAAAATGCAGGCGCATTTTAGTCAAGTTAGACAACAACAAATCACTAACACTGCATAACTACTACAGTTACCCTTCTATGTGGTGGTGATGATGATGATGATGATAATGACGATGATGAAAAGGCAACTAAAGCAAAGACTTACTTCGTTAACAGCAATCCAGTTAAAAGAGTTTATCAAAGGTGAAAGAATATTCTTTGTGAATAAAGGTGAAATCAACATGTCAGAGTACTCACAGTTCACTGATACGTATGTATATCTATTTATGTATATGCAACCGCAGTTCTTACACACATTGACATCACATTGCATTAACAGTTGTCACTTCGCACTGTTACACTCATTTATACAATGCGAAAGCTTCTCGAACAACTGACCTTACACACTGCAAATAATTCATCTTGAAATTGTCTCTCCCTGTCTCTGTTTGAGACGCGTGCAAAGGCATCAGAATTAGCCTCTCAGGGCTAAACCTTTATGGTAATCACATCCAGGAGAGTAGTTGATGAATATGCGTTGAAAGCCTGATTAACAAGAAACGACTATACACATTATATATTTCATCATAATTATGAATTTCGATTCAGAACAATAACAAACATACACTGATATAAATATCAATACGGATTGGTTACCTTCAAATCTGTAGGGAATAATTCTACTACTGGTAATCCGATCACCGTACCTGAACAACTCTACCCCAACCTTAAGCATGTTTTTAACAGCCTACGATACATCATAAAACATTTATCATGAACAATCGAACTAAATATTTCCGAATAGAGAAAAATTCAAAGTCACACCGTCTTCTAATCTGTGATGGAGCAAGTCTCTCTCTAGTCGTCATTCTTATTGAAGAAAACCAATGGAGATTATTAGTGGTAATTGCTTCCTCGATGAGAAGAAGCACACCTTTCATATTACATACTTTTGTCCCGATGTGATGTGATATTCAACATTTGAGAATGAGATGTCAAACTCTTATTAACTCATCAAAATACTTCTCAACTATCCTCCTCCTATCCTGTCCTACTTGCAGGATATACCCACTACAATAAATATTAGAACTATAAGAAAACAAAACAACATGGGATCCTAGAGATTATCACTCCCTCTCTCTCTCTCTCCCTACTGTCTGTTGCACTCTATGATCATTGCAAAATGAATGATGAAAGGATTTCAAATTGAAGTATGTGCTGAAGATGTCGCCTGCCCGGTAGGACGATGACAGCTTCGCAAATTAACTATCCAGCTCAGAGAACACAACCGCATCAAAATCATCCACCTGAGCTACAAATCTTCTCTATCATATCTGAAAGGATTTGTTCATGTGTAAGTGTCATACGTACAAAAAGCTTCAGCAGATCGGTTGATGGACATGTACATCACGTTGTGGAATTTGCTTGAGACGAATTAATGTGAGGGAAGGTAAGCTGATGGATTATACTATTTCGTAGGGACATTTTTTGCCATGACACCATCTGTCATTAACCCAGATTTTGTATTTTTGTGTAATTACTGGGAAAGCTGAAACAGAAAGTAATATCGTTTCAACAGTACAGCAATAGTACAGCACTGCAGAGATGCAGCATCTTGGAGAGGGGGGTGAGGGCGAGGGCGAAGGCGAAGGTATCACTGTACCTGTAGATGAAACTGTCTTATTAAAGAGAAAATACAACCGTGGCCGTGAACGAGCGAATAACGTTTGGGTGGTTGGTTGGTTTATACGATACTTCTCTACGGAAACGATTCGTCGAGAGATAAACAGATACAAAGTCAAGTACTTTAATACTCACTATCACTCGACTGGCAAAACGGGGATCTGTAATACACAAAAATCAGTGGACAGGATATAACTCCTTGTCATCTACATTTCTACATTAGACAGATAACTATGGACGGACACCAGTTTCACTTGGATAACAACAACATTACAGTCAGAGAACTTCTAGAAACCTCGTACTCAAATGAATAATCACCGAGCGATTAATAAACACACTACTTACTTTAGACCAAATTTACCAACTAATAAATCAAAAAAATAAACCACACGACAAGAAAGTTCAACTCCCAAGCCGATAAAAATGATCAAAGATATGAATTAATGACGAAGTCAGACAACGGTTGCCAGGAGATACAACTATATATATATTTATATCAAGTAAGTTCATTTCATTACTAAACACCTGTGGTGAAGGAAGGTGTTGTCTGTCTAGGACAGGAGGACAACGAAAGCTTAACACAATTAAGTCAACCAGCTTCTCAGAGAACACGATCAAAATCACCCTCCTGAGCTACGAAGAATCTTCTCCACTATATTACCATCAGCCTATAGATATATACATATACACATTTACATATAACTAATAAAATGAATTCAAGTTGAGACCAAACCAAAAGCAATAATAATCCCCTTCCCGTGTGTATTGAAAAACAAAACCTACTCTTCTCTGTTTGTCGTAGACGATGGATAATCGCATGTCAATCGAGTATAGAAAAACACATTGAACAGGTGAGTAACATGCCTCTGATACTTTGTCAGTTTCTCAAAGTACAAATATTTCAAATAAAAGTTGATTATTGAGTCGTTTAAAAGACCTCCAGGTGAAAGGCACGAAATATCTTCAGTTGTTAATGTTATGCCATCAGGAGACCCAGGCGGTTTATAGACCAAAACACTAAAACAAAAAATACACATAGATAAGGGAATTTTAAATGGAAACTACTAGTCTTACAAAAACTTAAGATAAGAACAAAGTAACGATAATAATAATAATAAATAAAAACAATGTTCAAATGATACACCAACATTTCTGCGTCTTTTTTAATTCATGGAAAATTCCCATTGTAACATATAGAAAATCAGAACAAGTGATGCAGCGAAGAGACTCTTTTTCGACGAATTTATTTCTCTACGAAACCAATGATTCGCACGAACGTGAAGGACAAGCTTCCACTGGGGGCCTCATCAATGTGCATCTACCAATTCACCTGCTCATGTGGAGCTAGGTATATCGGCCGTACCCAGCGTTTGCTATCCAAACGAATCAGTGAACACTTACCTTCATGGTTTTATAAAGGAGAAAGAAGATCCCCCCGCCACAGCTCTATCCTAGAACACTTGATCGAATCCGGACACCAAGCAAACCCACAAAGCAACTTCTCAGTTATCTACACAATACGTGGGAATCTTGCCAAAAGAGTACGAATTAAACTTCTTCAAACTGCAGAAGCAATGGCAATTCACATATTGAATCCTGAACTCTGCACACAAAAGAAGTTTGTTCAGTCACTAAATCTACAATGGTCCTGATCTATCTCAACACCAAATACGTAATTTTGTCTTACCTCTTTCTTCTTTGTTTGTCTGTTTCTTAATTGCATTATTTTCTACCCCCACCCTCTATTAAATCTCTACCCTCACGACGACTGTTGCTAACTCCATTTTCGTTTATTTTTAAGTGAATTCTACTCAGCTTATCAACTTAACTCTCATCCATTTTCAAGTGAATTCTACTCAGACTATCAACTTGACTCTCATTCATTTTTCATTGAACCCTAGCAATTAGATTACGTCACCCAACCTACTTTTGTAACTTTATTTTAGTTTCTAACCGATTAACGCCTTCTAAATTACGCAATTTGTTGTCAAAAAAATTAACAATTGCATCTTTGGAAATATTCCTTTTGTTGCCAAGAAAAATTACTATAAATTTGCGGTTTGTACAGCTTGAGAATGATATCGCCGAAAAGAGCAACTCTTTGCTGAACGCCTTCTCTTTTCTATGACTGAATTTATTATCTCTGCATACAGAGAAAGTTCCTTCAACCCCTCCAACTTTCATAGTCTTAATCCCTACCTAGTCATATTACGGCTCTACATATTCTTCGTTTTGTTAGGGTTAGGCTTTTTCGATAATAACTAACCGTCCTGCTGCACTATACGTCCCATGGATGACCGACCTACTGTTTATTTCACCCTTAAATGGCAATTTGATGGAAACATTTTTCTTAGAGGCGGTATAGATTGTAGGTTTAAAGACTACCACTCGGGATCGCGCTGGAGACCTTCATCATTAACAAGACGGATGTATTTTAGACTGATTCAAGGATCCTAGAATATCTGAAATTCACAAATGAGTCTTGTCTCACACATAACACACACTCTCGAAGGTACAGAAGCCGAAACCAACAAGTCTGGGAACAGACAGCAACGATACAACTTCAGGTGAACATAGAAAGGACAGAGATGATGAAGATATCTAAACACCAACAACAAAAACATTCATCATCATATATGACAGTAATGTAAAGGAAATCGTCTCACTCCCACCACCCACCACCCACCATCTGTCTGGGCAGCATCATATCAACTATCGGACACATTTCAGTTGAAATTCATTAGGCGTTACAAAAGTATCAAATAAAAGCCCCTATCGGGCTAACCACCTCCCTCCCAATAGGATGTTTATATTTCTTACCTGTTCAAGGGTTAGTTTTGTTTTTTACCAGTTGATCACGGATTGATACCAGTAAGAGAATCACTTCAATGAGTGCGTACTACCGATCATTCCCAAACTAGGATGAAACGCCTGCCTCTATACCTGATATCAATACGTGATCAACTCGCTAAAAACAAAACTAATGCTTACAAACCAACTATAGGAAAGTTATTTGTCATTACTGTGAACCTGTCTTCCCAAAGCAATTTAGAACCAAGACTCAATTTTTATTAGTTTCTTTCACCCTCTGCCTCAATTCTGTTTACCCTACATCCTTATGTCATCTTCATACCTCTCCTCGCCCACACACACACACACACACACAGCACCTTTGGATCTGTGACCTTCACCTGTACAAAATTTCACCTGTATTCCATTAATTCACGCCTACTCTTACCTTCTACATAAATGTGTGTGACAAGTTCTCGTGTGTGTGTGTGTGTGTGATCAGAATGTCCGAAATGTGTTGCGCAAATACATTACATTACACCTTTCAGATAAGCTACGGCTTCTTATTCTTTCGTCATTATACTATATTATTTACTGATGACCTTCCGAGCACAGTTTCATTGGTAGTGCTACATATATGCGTGTGTTGTCATGATGTGTAGCACATTGCGAGTAGATGTCGAAACAGTGAGTTATTCACAATATTCAAATGAAGCTGGTGTTTTCTGAATATGATTGATGGTGTATGTGAGTAAAGGTTAAACGACCCCGTAGGTTGA